AGAAAGAGTAGGGGGCCTGCTGGGATGTCGATTCATCAAGAACACCACATCGATGAAAAAAGAAGGCGGCTCTTTCTTAGTTGAATTCTAGAAAGGAAAGGTCAGAGAGAAGACAGGTTACGCCGAGACCTTGATCTTTCATTCCTTCCCGGGTTCCTTGGATGATTAAAAGTAGCAAGCAGTGCTTATTTCTCACTGGGATGGAGAACCCGTACCCATTCCCAACTCGACAACCAGAGACAGGCGACGTAGCCTTCAATTCCATTCTTCGTCTCCCTAGTCGCAGTATTCTTGCTCAACCCAACATGTATTTTATAGTGCCGTGCCGGGGCAATAGGCGCGCCGCAGTCACGCATTCGAGCAAGAGCCTTTTCTTTTCTTAGCTATGTAAATAGAGGGCCGGAGGAACGTTAGCTATTTGATAGCCTCAACAAAAGAATGGATTAAGGTGATAGAGTGTTACAGTAGACGCTAGGCTTCGTAATTTAAAAAAGAAAACGCTTTATCTGGCGGTCTCGTATACGTATAGTTGATCACCGCTGCCAGAACCTCTCAATCTCATAAGAGAAGAAAGCGTAAAAAAGAGCTTCCTCTATAATAAGAAATTACTATTATTTATCACCCGAGGGAACTGAACTCACTTAATCCTCATCTCTTGAACTCACTGAAACCAAGCCAATGGAGATTGGCGGGTAAGATGCTGGAAATAGACTTCGCCGAATCCCTTTTCATTACATCCAACCTTTGCTACTTCTGCTACCGCAGCCCTTGCTGATTGACTTGATTGGTCCCCTTCCACCTTTCTAAAGAGGAGAGAAAGAAATCCCCCTACTCGCCGAAGGAAGAGGCATCTCATGCCATGCTTCTTCTGTCCACCAATCGCATTCGTGGATATCTTCTTGCAGGAGTGGTGCTTTGGGAAAGAAGTGACCTGACTTCCCCAGGTCTGAGTTTAGTTGCTATTGAGGAAGATCCTTGTTTGGTTTTCAAATATGATACTTCCTCCAGCACCGGTTAGTGATTCAATCACAGCTTCTACTGTAAGACTGGCTACGAGAGCAGTCAGAGCTGATACGATCACATTTGAGAAGTCTCACGGGCCCTCCTTAGCTAGTCTTATGCCATTCGTGCCCTACGACTAGTAGTCCTTTCTCTTATTATACGACGATAGCACTCGCAAATCCCACTAACAACCGATTCTATACCAGCAGATGAAATAGTACCGGAGTCATTTCCATTAAACCTTCCACCAAGAACTGATTCAATAGCTGCGCTTACGGATAGTTGACCAAGAGCCTCTACGATCAGATCTGCAGCGGAAATGCCATTAACAGCGGGTAGGCAAAGAACGGTTATTCTCGATGCAGTGGGAACAGTAAGAGCGGAAAGGGTTATTACAAGACTGGGTATTCAATAGCCAGGGATGACAGCTTATTCCCCCAAAAGCAAGGGTCTCTGCAGTTTTCCTTGGTTTGCTATATGAGTGTTCTTAGATTACCTTATTCTGTTGATATAAGAAATTATATTCAATTCTCACTTCCTCCTCTTTATGGTTAAGCCGATAAAGAAAGATGAAGTCGAAAATCTCTGGACTTTCATGCATAGTCTAACAGGTAATATTTGGGAAGATTGAAATGAAGTTTCAGTCTTAGGTATTAAAGACAGAATCAATGGCACCGGCACACTATTCGTCCTATTTGGAGCCAACTAAGGAGTTGCGAAAGCCTGCTCCTACACCTCCAGATCAAATGGCTTTCTCGAATAAATTAAATAAGAATATTGAAGCAGGTCGCAGGCCGACCATGAAGAAGACGTATCGCTACATCTCTAGTGAGCAACGTCGAGAAAGTGATCCCATCTTTAATATCAGGAGTCTCTCTCGAAGAGGTTCCATGTCTAAGACTCAAGATCTCTCCAAACGTGGTCATACCAGTTGATGCCACTAAGGCGGAGAGAAGAGGGAAGAGGAAGCGCCCTGCCACTAGACGTCCTCCTTTACGTTCTCTTCTACGAAAGTTCGATGTTCCCACAACTGTCGACAAGAATGAAGGTCGTGAAGCGTCACTCCCCGCTGCATCTGCATGATTATAAAGTAATTCACTTGATGACGGAAATGGGCTATGACCCTTTCAAACAAAGGTGAAGAGCTTTGCGTTCCAACGACATCTTTAGCCCTCAGTCTCTACTGCTATTGGCAGCTCAGTTCCTCTAGCATCTGATTGTGGGCATCAACATATAAGAAAGGTCTTCTTTGGCAGATGGAGGCCATACCGAATCAAATACTAGAGTAGAGAAATTCTTTAGCGAAATGCCACATCCGACGTGTGCTCGGAATCCTACGCAGTAGCAAATAGGCTCTCTTAACTTTATACCCATACCCCCAACTACGGGAGACAAGGCGTCTAATTTGGCCATTTTTCAAACTATTCTCTAATAAGTAATAAGTAAGATCGTGCCCCTGCCTTACTTCTTTCGGTATACAGCCCTGATACATGACATGAAAAGTCGCTGGCAGGATAGGCCCTAAGTCATTTTTTATTCTCTCTCGCCGCGGCTAGTGATGCGCTACGATGGTTTGCAAAGCTATCCAAGCAATTCTTTTATTCTTGGTCTCATTTAAACGAGTCTTTCTTTTCGTGGCACGTTTTCACGATCACTCTAGAAGAGTGACTATTGAACAAGTGAACACACTGCGATCCCTGCAATGCGAATCAGCTAGTCAATCCATTTTTGCTAAGCTGAATAGATATGAGGCTCTATAGCCATAGCCCGCATCTGCACCCAGAGACTCAGATGCTATAGTCAAAGCTTCTAGTGCGGCCTTGGGTGACCTCGGCAGCTTTGCCTCCCACTTTTGTAGAGCTACTGACAGCCTTGAAGAAGGGAAGCACTTCAATGTCTGCATGTCAGATGACCGGTGCTACCAATCCGGACCCTGTCCTTCCATTACGTATATAAAGTGTGCTTACGCATAAAAAAGGCTTAGGGGCTCCCGGCCCGGACTGAGAATTGGATTTTTCCCAATCTCTTTCTATCTCGCATGATGGGGCGAAGAGAGTTTCGAACCTGGCCAGTCAAATGTGAACTGCCGCGGTCTTCTTTGGACCGCATTCCATGTCACAGTAGGTTGTGGAGAGACTGCATTGATTGCAGCATTAGTTGAAGTAGAAGCATTGTTGTTGGAAGGCCCAGAACAAGGGAAGAATTTCCAGCTTTCGCGCTTTCCTTTCACTTCCAAGCTTGGAGGTCCAGTAGAGGTGATTTCCTTTCCTTCCTTCTAATACGGATGTCGGCTAATAAGCTGAATATCGGATAATTGGCTTAAAGGGTAAGGGGTAAGATTGGAAGCATAAACTATAGATTCTCCAATCCCTTGACTTTCCCAATCTTTTCAAATTCTCTTTTTAGCTGTGATTTGAATGTATAAAGTTTGTCTTCAACCTCCCTGGTTTCGACATGGGTTCAAAACTCCGATTTTTTTAAAAACGGTTAAGAAGTAGGAGCGAATTCGTCTATCACAGGTAGTCGCTCACCCGCAGGTCTTTCTCATATATAAGCTAAGCCAGGAGGGTAATATGAATTGGACTTTCAAGTAGGGGGCTTCTAAGCACCAGTAAGAAAGTTCAAATCCAGTGATCGGGACTAGCAGGAATAACATTCAGTACAATTTCATCGTTCCCTCAAAAGCCAATATGTTAATATTCCCATCAACACCTTTTCTTTTATTGTTATTGCCGATACGACAGTTTGAGTGCCAATAAGCGTTCCTTATAACTGATAAAGGGATCGGGATCCTCGAAGTGCAGGGTTTTCTCAGCTGCGGGGACAGGACAACATTCTTTTTTCCTGCTCGTTCTGTTATTGATTTACTGGGAATGAATACCATTTTCCTGCTTTCTGGTCTATTTTAGTTTCATGAGGATCTCCCTAGGTGTCGGTACGCGGGATCGAGGATCCCATACAAAAGATGAAGGAAGGGATTTGACAGCAAAACTCACTTCGCTCGCCTTGGAAATCGGCGAAAGATAGCAAGCGGACAGCGATTCGGGTTCCTATGCAAAAAGAAGATGCTCAGCAAGCCAACCTCGTACACAGAACGAACAAACTCAGGCTCAGCCAGGGCCCTACTCTCTTCCAAAAAGAGAACAGCTCCATCCCTCAATCACCCTATACGGGATGCCGGACCGGAATCCGCCTCTTCTCTGTTGGTTGAGAAGTACTCTTCTCCTTTTTTGGTTTGCAAGGGAAGAGTCAGCAAGAGCAGCCCAGAGATGAGAGGAAGAGGCTCAGTATCCACTGGTTTCAGTAGTAGGAGTTGCCCATTGTTCACCGAAGTCGTCAGAGAGGGAATCCTCTCACTTTTCATTGGACAAAGAGGCTATCTAAAGTCTATTAATCAATAAGCAAAGTCTAAGGCAATACCAATACTACTACTCTCTACTAATGACATATGATTTCACTGTAGAGCAATAACATAGAGAAATAGAATATAGTAAGGTAGTATAGTGTAAAAAGGACCAAGGACGAATAAAGAAGAAGAAGGAGTAGGAGCTAATTCGAACGGAATCGAATGATTACGAGATAAACAATGAGACAAAGCCAAGCACTGAGACAATTCACTTTGAGTACAGGGAAGTCCGCTGGTAGGAATTCTTCAGGGCGTATTACTGTTTTTCACCGAGGGGGTGGATCGAAGCGATTGCAGCGAAGAATGGATCTGAAACGAAGCACTTCGTCTATGGGCATTGTAGAAAGGATAGAATATGACCCTAATCGTTCTTCTCGGATCTCTTGATAGTCCTAGCCATCCTTCGATGAAGACTTGAGCCGAACTCGCCGTCCTTCCCCGGAAAGCAAAAAGACTTTTAGGCTATGCTGGAAAGATGGCAGTGGCTGTAAGAGCTTATATGAGTACTCCCACTAGATAAGCTTAGCTTTTTCGGGCTTGAAGGAAGAAGGCTAGAAAGAACAGAGTCTGTCTGGGGCAACTCTCGGGTAACATGATGACTTCTTTGGGGGCTTCCGGCGCAGCAGCTCATTCCGAACCGAGCGTCAACCAGGGGAACCAAGCTCCGCATAGGAATGATGCCGGCCACAACAGTGTTCCCCTTATTATGATGAACCGTGGTGAGCGAAAGAGAGAGAAAAACCTTAGATTAATTTCCCATCTGTATCTGTAGAGTCCAGTCCTGCTGTTAGGGCTGATTACTATCTTAGGTTTTATCAGTTGGAGATGGGATTGCACGGCAATACTCCTCAAACAGTCACAGACTGAGGAAAGGGCAGAAAGAAAGACATTGGCTTTCCTACCGGAATGAAAGAGCGAGGGGACTTAGCCAAGGCACTAACTAAAGTGCAGCTACAGTGCCAAATAAAGAAATTGCACAAAGTGGCATGCTCTCTAGTCGGCGAATGAAAGAATCCTAAGGGAAGAGAAAGGATCTATAGTAGTGGAAGTAGTAGTAGCGGTCAGTCCTGACATAAGAAAGAGGCTTTGATGCGCGGGATAGCTTGAAGAACGAGTACCTGTAGAAAGTACCTTCCTCGCCTGGAACTTACTTCTTATGCCATTCTCGCTAAAGAATCCATGTGCCTATATTGAATGAGAACATGAATGGGAGGTATAAAATAAAAAGAAAAGAGACTGCTTGCTTTTCCCTTTGCTTTAGGAGTTCGCTTTTACTATACCCTATTTGCAGATGGCAGAAAAATAATAAAATAAATAATCGAGCTCGATAAGACCTCCTTTCTCTTAGGTCTTGCCTTGAAATGCTTCTTCCTTCCTGGCCTCTTAGTCAGGTGCCACAAGCAAGATTTATGAATTATCTCGGTCCGAGAAAGTCTGTAATGTGAGAACTGCTAACTCGTCTGCTCCCTTTTTTTCTGTCCGCTAAAGACCAGTTTTTAACTACTGTTAGCATGTTAGCTCGCTAGTAGTACTGATAGAATAGATTAGGGACTTCTTAAACACATATTAGGAAACTCTAAAGTTGGAAGAGCCAAAAATAAAGAGAACTCCCATTCGATGCCAGAACCGGATGTCCTTATGCAATTGGATAGACTGGAAGAGATTATCCTTTTACAAACAAGAGATGCTTGAACTTCAACTAATTCCCCAGCTGCCCTAACCTTTTCTGTCTGTGCTAAGAAACTAAACTTGAGCCCTAGCTGCCTTTTACCTAGCGCCTCGCTGAGACTGCTTTGAGAGACTGCTAAAAACTAACTTGACTTGCCCCAGCTTGACGACTCCTTTGATTTGCTTACTAAGCCCTAGCTTACTAGAAAGAAAATGGATTTCAATTGAATTCCTCCTTGCCTGGGTAAATTATTACAGCTTGAAAAAAAAAAAGAATAGAAAAAGAGACTGAGAAAGGGCGCCATCTTCGAGACCACGGCTGAATCTTTGTTTAAAAAGGAGAGCCCTAGGCTGAAGGCCTACAACTTTTACTTTTCTTCTCTTCCTTCTCGTGCTTTTTCTTTTCTAACTATCAAAGAGAATGTGAAAAGAAAAGGGAGTTCGGGGGTACTAAACAAGAGACAGACTCTCCAAAGCACAAGCCGAAGGCATCTTTTCTATGGAAAGCAAACACAGGCATCTCAGGCTTGCCCATGCTTACCAGACCTTACTTACTAAGGCAAGACTTCTTACTCAGCCTAAGGGTAAGGGTTCTCCTAAGACAGAATGCTTTGCTTACTACTAAACCAAAGGAGAAGAAAGAAAGAGATATTCATTAAACAGATCAGATGAAGTCGAGGCGACCAAAGTACGATCGACTGAAAGGAGAGGAACGTAGTACCTTTCGCTTTGTAGACTACGCTCTTACCCATAGGTCGAGCCTGGAAAACTGAAACTGGTTTTAAATCCTGCTCTGGTTCTTGCACTTGACTTTTTGTTGGGTTCGTAGTCAAAGGCAGGAAGAACAGACAGAAGAGAAGAAGCTAATGGTACACTTTTCATTTTCGTTGGTCGCCTCTTTCAGAGCCTTCAGCTTCGGCAACTAATAACCATAGTTAGTGGCTTCTGGTCTATAGTCACTGATCTCGAGTATGCCCTCCGCCTCTCCTCTTTTTCTTGGGTCTATCACCTCCGCTCACTAATCTCTGTCTCTTTCGTGTCTGTCTTCCGGTTGATGATGAACTTGTTGTCTTCTTAGTCGTAGGTGTAGGTGCTCTTCTCTTATTCGTATGATAAGTATATGTAAGAGTGAAACCCCTTGAAGACATTACGCAGGCTTTTTCTTTTAGGTCTTAAATTCTTTCAAATCCTGCCCGGCTTATTTTCGCTAGGCATAATAGTAACCACCTCCCTCCTCACCGAAACTGCGAAGGGACGGTACGTACACAAAATGGCGGCTTACCGCAAGTCCCTTCGGTCTATCTTTCTTTAGCTCTGGTGGGCGTGGTTCTGTAGTTCTTCTGGCCTTTCTTCATGTCGTAGCCTTAGCTTATCGATGGGTCTTGCATTAGATACATATAGCATTTTCTTTGACTCATGCCTTGGGTCGCCTTCTAAGATCAAAAGCTTAATAATCCTATGTAGTTCGTTCCCTTACGGCTGATCCTCTGGAATTCAAAACCCTCGCCTGTTGGCTTTCGCTCCCGGCTTCCCTATCGGAAATAGTATTCCAACTCGTTTTCGTACGAACTCAATTTAGTTGCCCAAGCCCTCTTTCTGCTACGAAAAAAAGCTTCTTAAAGGAAAGTCAGTCGAGACCCACCTCTGGACTACGGACGAGCTGCTTTCAGAACCGCTTAAGCAATAGATTGACCACCCCGTGACAACTGAATTGGGCGACTCGAAACCTGTCTCCAACCCTCATTAAACATTATCCGTCTTTCTATCACTAGTAGGTCCTGGCGAACCTGCTTTTGAAATAGCTCGACCGATAGGGAAAGGGTTACATCCGCGAGAGGGTAAGCGTGTAGGGGGAAATCACGAAGACGGGCCACACATACTTGGCTTTACGCGATAGGGCACTTTTTTAAGACTTTCACCTTTTGAAGCTCACTTGACAGAGGGGTAGCAGGGGCTTTGGAATTGAGCTCTAAAGATAAGGTAATAGTTCCATACAAGGAGCGATAGATAGATAGCTCGACTAGAAGGAAAGGATCTTTGGAATTTCATAATGGATACGAATCAGGTCTTCTTCCCCTCTTATAAGTAGCTATCCTTATGATGAGCCAAGGAATAGAATGGATCGGTAGGCAGTTGAAAATGACTCAATTCATAAGATAAGTCAAGTTCACCGGCTTTCAAGCCTCTTTGCATGATTCCATGTAACTGATTCGTACGAGGTAGGAGTGACCTCAAACAGGGGAAAAAGATCTTCGTATATTAGATATGTCACTGAAACAATCTGTTCTGTCTCTGTTTTCTTTTCGGATTCCGAAGATGAGCCGGCCAATCCTAACATCTTTATCTGAGGTTGGGTCCCCCTGCGTCGACCGGCTCCTCAGATAAAGATGTCTCCGACGCTACTTTCTCGGCAAGAACAACTTTTTCTATTGTGATTTTTTTGGCGGGTTCGGTCAGAAGAGACAAAAGAGAGATTTTATATCAGTCAAAAGCGGATACCGCCCCCCATGCTCCCACGGTCCGCTTACCGAGGTGCGGAGCGGGAGTACCCGGGGCCAGAGCAAGTTGAGTTGGGGTATAGAGCCGTAAGCGCGATGGGGGGTTTCAGAGGACGTGCTCGTACGGTTCATAGAAGGGTATGATCAACTCGTTGATTGTTGGGAACTTTCACTCCTCTATATTCGAAATATGCCTTTCTAGGAGCATTACGATCTGCAGCTCAAATGGTCTCTTATGAAGTCTCTATTGGTCTTATTCTTATTGTGCGCCTTGTGAGCGCGTTTGGATCCGCGAAGGCAATCGCTCGGATGTTCCCCTAACCCAACCCGGGAACGAACCGGAGGGAACCGCAGCATGGGGAATGTCCGCGTCTCGTCGCAAGGCTCATTTTTAGTTGTGGGTCATAGGGCGGGCAGCTTTTTCTGATCAAGGGCCGGGGCACAAGGGTCCTGGTACTATCCAGGTGCGAAGAACCCCGGAGGTGACTGCAATGAGCAGAAATCTCACTCACCGGCCTAAACGACGAGCAAACACTCGAACGTGAGAGCAAGGGATCGCCCAACGAATGGACGAACTCCAAGGAGGGAGGCAAAAACCATGCTTTCAGAGAAGTGGCGGTCCGAATCTTATCTGAACTGCGAGAATAACTGACTAAGCCGTGCCATAAGGCCCATTCTCCAACTCCAAACGGAACGGGGCCAAGCCTTTAGGTTGTTTAAGGAGGTTGGGTGACAGATCGGCCATAGGAGTACTCCGGGGTATAAACCAGGGCAACAAATGTCGAGCATACGACGATGCCGCCCGTTTTCATTTCATGGAAGTCCCCGGCAGAGGAAAGGGCTGTAGGTGATGGCACGCTTTGCTTCTTATCTGGAGAGGGGCGCTGAAATCGTTCCTATTGGGTCGTGCGTGGCAGCTAGTATAGATGAATAAGGGCGGCCGCGGGACCTATTCTCTTAACTTAATAGGTGGCAAGGCTGAATAGGAAAGGGGCCGAGCTGCCTGATGAGTGCCTTTTTAGCCTTTTTCTAAAGGCTCTCATGTGAAGCTAACATGGCTGGCTACATACAAGTATAGCCAAATCAAGATGAGACGGGACGGACGGTCAGAGGCCGCCGCGGGACTACCATAGGAAAGCCCGCCCCCGCTAGCTAACATAGAAAGATATTCCCAGATAACAGTAGTCTGTCTCTATGTGAATCTCTTCCCGACCAGGCCAGGCCGAATCGGGCCACCACTTGGGATGGGAATGGCTCAGCCCACATGCATCATTTGATGAAAGCACTCCAGTCGCCTCCTCGAAGTGGCTTGTCAACCACGTTTTCCCTCCCTAAAAAGAATGTTCCAAATGCCCTTCCTTGGGCAAGACAGCAATGAGTAGTTCGCTCCAGGACTCCATTCCCTCGAGAGCAGGATGCCGACCGAGATGGAGCTGGGAGCCAACCTAGACTTTCCTGGGGCTTGCCCCAACACCTAAAGAAAAGGTGGGCGCCGAAAAGTACGCAGCCCAGCCTCTTCAAGAAAGCTTTGCTTGGTAGGCGCTGCCTACTCACTCAGACAATGCTCTGAACACGAAAGTGTGCAGTTCCGCCCCCTTCTCCCATGCTGAGTCACAGGTAGCGCCTAGGAAAGCACGGACGAGCCACATGCAGGGAAACTTGCACGTGTGGTTCTGGCCGGGGACTCCGGTATACTGTACTAATATGTGTGGGTCCCCGTAATTCGAGTGAGATTGTCATGGCGCAAAAGCAGATATGGTCTGGTATTCCCTTGTTCCCTGTATTGGTTATGTTCTTCATTTCTTGTCTAGCAGAAACTAATCGAGCTCCGTTTGATCTCCCAGAAGCGGAAGCTGAATCAGTTGCAGGCTATAATGTAGAATATGCGCGGGATGCGATCCTTAATAGTCCACTGTTGGCGGAAGCCAATGTCCCGGGGTCCCGGGGACTCATTCTGACTGAAACAAGGGGTGGGTCTTTACCAATTTCTAAAATATTCGATTTAAGGGAAGCCAAAAAGAGCGCCTAGCGCGAGCTTTATTGAAACAGGCCCCTTACTATAGATGGGGCGCCCCTTATTTTATTGAAAACTCAAGGAAAGCTTTTATATATATGTATTCTATTAATGCGCTCAAGCATGCGATTCGAAGAAAGCAACAAGCGAGAAAAGCCCTTTCTATTCTTGCTTGTTTAGTAAAGTCACGCTTTTCATTTTGTTAGGAGTAGGTGCTATCTGGGGCAGGGCACTCCTCATTCTTCATTCGAAACTAATGAATGTCCGGTCGGGGGTTTCTGCCTTATTATCAAAAAGGGAGTTGGGTAAAGCAAACTCCCTCCTTGGACGAGCACGAGGCTTAGTCAAGTAGAACCGGGTTGCGCTGCTTGATGCTCCGATCGAAAACAAATCAATGGGGCCATGCCGGTACGACTGAATATGCGTTAGAAAGGTCAATCCCTCCCCTACGACACCAAAAAAAACCGGGCCGAACTTCTACCCGCCCGCTTACATAGAACAATATCGTGGCAACGTAGACCTAAGTGGTATCATATTGGATCCTTGGGAACCATCACAAGGACGGCCGGCCTATATTTGAACGAGAATGCCGTGTCGTCCAGCGGAGCCTAGAAGAAGGTGACTCGCGCAGACAGCTGACTCTTTTTCAATAGAAAGGAATAGCCAAACCAAGTCAGCTGTCTGGTCAATCTCAGAGATCTTATCGGCCGGCAAACTGGAGATGGACGACCACGATCCCGACCTTACCAGCACCAGAGGTGTACTAATCAATGAACCCCCGAAACCTACTTTTCTGACAAAATCAACCAAGCCTAACCGGTCACGACATGTTGTTGATATTGATTGAGTTTGAGGGACTTTCGCTGACTGAATTCATCCATAAACCCAGACCCCCGTAACCTTCGTAACCAAAGCGTCACGACAACATTCAAAGGTGACTTTTGGATTCTTAAGTAGGGGGGCGGAGGAGCACGTAGGAATGCCGACCACTACTTAAGCCACTTGTGGCTGAGAGAAAGCGAGCAGCACCTTGTATAGGTTGTTCGGAGCTTGAAGAAGCGAGCCCCTATCAGAGAAAGCCATTGCGCGCTAGCCTTTTTCAGCTCAGCTGGCTATTATGTTAGTTGTAGCCCGCCTTCCCTCCTTCTCTCATTTCGGAAAGATTTTGCAGTATTTTCTTATGATGACCTGGTCGAGGGAGTACGATACATCGGTGTAAAAGATTGAGTGGGACCTGTGAGGTTGGTTGAGGGGCAGCTGACCGAAAGGAAAGTGGGTAGGCAATTCCTATTTCATGATTTTTCTTTTTTTCCGGTATTCCGCTCCACGAGCAGAGCGAATGAACCCAGTGGGCTGTGGTGATGTTAGAATTTGCACCTATTTGTATCTATTTAGTGATCAGTCTGCTAGTTTCTTTGATCTTACTCGGTCTTCCTTTTCTATTTGCTTCCCCTAGTTCGACCTATCCAGAAAAATTGTCGGCCTACGAATGTGGTTTCGACCCTTTCGGTGATGCCAGAAGTCGTTTCGATATACGATTTTATCTTGTTTCCATTTTATTTATTATCTTTGATCTGGAAGTAACCTTTTTCTTTCCTTGGGCAGTCTCTCTCAACAAGATTGATCTGTTTGGATTTTGGTCCATGATGGCCTTTTTATTGATTTTGACGATTGGATTTCTCTATGAATGGAAAAGGGGTGCTTTGGATTGGGAGTAATCACTAGTGATAGGGCGGGGGAGAGGACAAGGTCAAGAGCGATGCCTACATTAAATCAATTGATTCGTCATGGTAGAGAAGAAAAACGGCGCACGGACCGTACTCGAGCTTTGGATCAATGTCCCCAGAAGCAAGGAGTATGCCTGCGTGTTTCAACGAGAACACCGAAAAAACCTAATTCAGCTCTACGTAAGATAGCCAAAGTACGGTTGAGCAATCGACATGATATATTTGCTCACATTCCAGGCGAAGGTCATAATTTGCAGGAACATTCTATGGTCTTAATAAGAGGAGGTAGAGTAAAAGATTCGCCAGGTGTGAAATCCCATTGTATTCGAGGAGTCAAGGATTTGCTGGGAATTCCGGATCGAAGAAGAGGCAGATCAAAATATGGTGCGGAAAAACCCAAATCGATATGAATGGAAAAGGGGTGCTTTGGATTGGGAGTAATCACTAGTGATAGGGCGGGGGGGAGGACAAGGTCAAGAGCGATGCCTACTTTGTTTTTTCAATCTAGAATTGAGACTACTATCCGTATCGAGCTGCTTTACACCCAGAACCATGCCGATTGTTTTTTCATTTTTTTTTGTATTATTTTTATAATCTTTTTACTTTATTTAAAAATAAAATTTCATATGATGAAAGGAAACAATCGGGTTGGTTGGCACGGTGCCTCCACTTCACGCGGGCCAGGGCCCGCCCAGTCTGGTGCTCCGGAGGACGATGACCCAGAAAAGGTGCGTCTTCGGAAAGACATTCGTAAGGCTCTGGAGAAGCTTCTTAAGAAGTATTGTTTGCGCTATTGTAGTGGCATGGGGTTCTGTGGTAAGTATTGCTCCCGGGGCAGAACTAATTTTCATTTCTTGGGAGCGGCAGAGGCAAGATCCCTATATGTTGATAGATACCCGAGAGACTGAGTCCTTTCCTTAAGGCATGCCCTCTTACTGCTTGAGAAGAAGAGGAATAAGCCCAAGACTGGGAAGCTCTAAACTCGTTAACAGAATCTGTAGCGGGCAAAGGAGTAAGATCGAATCCACCTTTCTTATTTCCCACGCCCGAGTGAGTGGTTATGCTTGAATCTGTCTCATTTGAGGATGCCTTTGTTCTACCTCTTGACTTGGTTGCAGATTGACATTGACAAGAGAAGAAGACCTTTCAAGCAAGTTCCTTAATAGGAAAGTCACATTACATTAGGATTGCCGTGGGATACAGAGGTGCTTTTAGGACTCAAAGTAACGATCCTTCTCCTGTTGGGGAATTCTTTTGAAGACAATCGCTCTTGCTTCCCCGGTGCTCTAGCTTTAAGGATGCCCACTCATCCGGACAAGCCTTTCTATTTAGCCGTGCTTAGCTACACGGCTTAGCCGACCTTACTAAGACAGGCTTACCAACACTCTGAGCTCGATCCGCTCTTCGAACACATAGCCCGCCTGAAGAGGCTTGGGGTAATTACATTTCCTTTAGATATTCGTGCTAAGGTTAAAACCAAGTAAGAGGTTTTTGCCCTTACCAATAGGATGCATACCGGCAATCGCTTACAAATCCAGGGCAGACTAGAATAGAAAGCACATACATACGAAAAAAATGTTTGTTTCCAGAGCACCTACTAAACATACATATCGGCACACAAACTATATGTTGATCGCAGGTTGTTATTGACAAATAGAACTGCTGCTGGCACTTTCCTTTTATTCTGACCGAGTGTCGATCGCTCCTTTGACTGGGCAAGATCTGACGATTCCTGCCCAAGAAGGCAGGTTACGAATTCAGATTAGCTACTGCCAAAGAGTCAAACCTTTTTTTCTTTCTTCTTTTCAAGCAAATCAGCCTTTTCAACTTGCTCCTTCTCCTTTGGCGCAAAACCAATCTGTTGCCTTTTCGAGTGCTCCCAAAAGTATTCAAAACAACGGCTCAAAGTCTTCCAATTTCATTACAGCCATGTCAAGCATCACATTATTCAGTTGATCCTAGATGTCTTTTAGGTCAATCTCTACCGATCCCATCTTCTACTCCTCTGTTGAGGAATCGGTTTCTTCTTAAATTAAAGCCAAACAAACTAGTCTGTTCCCTAGTCACCTCACTTTTTTGGTCCCGAAATCGCCTCTCATGGTTGTCTTTTGTCACTGGTCTATGCTTCTTAATATAGTAGGTATGATGCCCAGCAACGGGCACCTGAAACCTGAACCGGAACCAAAATATATAGTAGGAACCGCCGCATTCGTCACTGATTACCGAAAACTAATCTACGACTAGCCTCTGGTCTATGATCTCTGGTCCGCTTTGGCTATTGATCTGCTCCTCTTGTTATTGAACTGGCGTCTTCAATTGGCATTGCCTTGTCCCCAACCCTAAGAGGCACACCCGAAGAAATGAGCATAATCGCCAGCTTAAAAATATTAAACCAACCCCGACGCCCAACAGAAAGGCAACCATCATAGGAAGTAGAAATAGGGGAATCATATGTAGGACTAGTAGCTTTCTTGTTCGCTTGGCTTTAGGCTGTTTTTCGTCTCTTTTTTCTTTTTATGAAAGTCTATTATATCTTTTTGCGGACTTTTTTGTTCTCTTTTCTTTCTTAGTCTTTCAATATCTATCCACCCTGAATTTCTTTTTAGATTCGCCGATTTTTCTGCGAGATTCCGGAGGAATATTCCCGCTTTAACAAGTGGTTGTTGCCTCGCTATTTCTACCAAGGCTTTGATCTTTGTGAGTATTCGGACTTTCTACAATGCCCGCCAGACGAATCTAAAAAAGAAGGAATGGATTGGTTCCTCGAAATTTGGTTCGGGAGTCGTTGCGGAAATCTAAAAAGAAGAAACCATTGACCCCTGAAAAAAACAAGTAAAAATGGAATCGGAGCGATCGTAAAGAGATGTTTTTCATTCCCTTTTTGTTTACTAAAAGAAATCCACACTTTGACACCTAAAGATTCCGTAACGAGTAGATACTTCCGCAGGAGCATAATGGATTTTCTGGTGAAATACATTACAAGATGTTTTTCCATACTTTTTCGTGCCATATGCGCTTTTTCTTGACTTTTTCCCCCTTTTTCTTCCCGTTTCGATATTTGTTCTCGAAAGTCTTGGTTATCCGACGAGCGCTGATCGGAGAGCCACTTTATACATCTCGGCTAAGGATCGAAAGGTACGATTGTGGTTTTATCCTTTGAGCGCAGACAGCTAAAGATTCCCGTCACAACCAGGTCAATGGCTCTGATATCGACACCAATAAAGATTTCCGCAAGCAAACGCAGTGGGTAAATCTTGGAGTCGAAACTGAAGCGCGGTCATGTGAGAACCTGTCAATTAAAAATCTTGGTAAATAAGCGAGTCGGATCCCCTCCTGCATAACCAAGCTTGAGCTCATCCTGGCGTAGGCCCAGCGAATCACGAAGCAGAGAAGTGTAGCCAGAACGAGGCACGACGATACCAAGTTCACCTATATGAAGAAGACCAGAAAGACGATACACTTCTTCCAAAGAGGGTGCGAGCTTATGCCAATTAAATTAAAAAAAAGATTGAGATCAGGATCCCAACACTCTACAGCTGCTTCCAGAAGCTCCCAGTCGAGCCTAACTTTACAGAGATCAAAAGCATAAAAGAGTCCTACCTCCTTCAAAGCTTGGATGACCTCATCGGAAATTAATAAAGTAATCCAACGCTGCAGCCCTTCGTGGCAGCCGCTCCTTCTCTGCCGAATTAATGGATTGGCCAAGGTGATGAAAAATTGGAAAATGGGCAAGGCTCCTCGGGCAAGTAGTCCCTTGATCCGGGGGTTGGAAGGGGCTTAGAACAGCTTTCTGAATTGCGAAAGAGTAACCTTTCCACCATCCCCTACTATTCTAGCCTCAGCTTTTGCTTTAGCTCATTCTCTTGTTGATTTATGTAAAAGATTCTACGGATGTCTTTGTTGATGCCCTATCTCTTCCTACTCCAATGAGAAAGAGGGCGGCTTTCCTATCGTTATGGGAATGCTGATCAAAATAAATAGGGTAACTCGGAATCGAATCACCAACCTAATATCCAAACTTCAGGACACTCCAAATAAAAAGGATTTGGTTCGCTCCGCAGTAACGAACTGATCAAGATGTGGTGTCCAGTCTAGTCTACATTGGTACGGGATTCGCGATGCCATCTGTATGGTCTTGTGTTCTTTCCTCACATTGGGAGTGCTACCCTGGCAAACCTATAGATCTATCTCAGCACGTTGCTCACATTGCTTTGTCAAGGAAGCCGGGATCGATGTCGGATGATAAAAAGCGATGGAAATGGAATTGAATCCCAGTGGCTAGCGCTCCAGGCACTTTCTTTGACGCTTGACTTTCTTCGGTCGGATTCGGCCCACTCGTCTATGAGCAAAAAAGAAAGAAAAGGTCGAATAGAGCCGGGACTGTTCTGTAACCATTCCAACTTCTTCTATCCGGTAATTTCTTCCCTCACGAAAGAAAGCTCACCCTCAGGGGTACGCCCAGCGGGGGAGGATTCTATCTCCCTTACAATCAGGGGTTTCGGGTTCGGGTGCTGCATGCCTTCCCGCGGGATTTCCTATTCATTTTTTCATATAGTCATAAGAAGGGATATCTTTCAATCCTGGTCCAGTTGAGGTTGAATTGAATCTGGCCTCTTTCGCCCGGATCGATCTCCTTCGGAAAAACCCCTCTTACCTTCAATCCCCTCTCCTTACTTGTAGATAGATTCTGAGTGGAAGTAGGGTCTATGTTGAAAATGGTTGAGTCCTATTACCTGAAAGGGAAGGATAGTAGTCCCGTATGATCGCCGGTGTCTTGTTCGTTCTAAGGCATCTTCTATGGCACTCCATCGATTGGTCCAGCCTCATTTGCAGCAAGCTTTGGCAGACCCATGATGAACATGGTTTCATTGCACCATATTCAACTTTATTATCCGAACTAGAAAAAGTTCGTTTTCGAGCCCTGTGTATTAAGACCCTGGCCTAGGACCTCGGTAGCAAGCTAAAAAAGAAGGAAGACAAAAGAAGGGCTTTATCAAAGGCAATGGAGCTGCGTCCCGGCTTAGGAGAGATTGACTAGAGCATTTCTTTCAGTTGCTTAGCGAATCCGGGAAAGCAGTGAGTATCGAATCCATTCTTAGTTTGGCTGTAAGTAGATGTTCTTTGTATTGGATCCAGGGTTGTATAAGAAGAAAACACATGATCGGTCAATCGATATGGGTTACATTGCATGGATAGGGGAAGATAGGAATAGTTTCTTTCTGCCCTTAAAACTAGGGCATGCAGGTTCAAGTCTTGTCTCTGCTGGTCTGTCTTGTGTCAAGTACCGGTAAGGAACTGATCGAAGTCTCGGTGAAATGAATCTATTCTCCAATCTAGTCCAATTTTCAGTCTAAGCTTTTTTCCCTGGTGTTGCTTTGAACTCTTTTCTCTTGTCCTCTTCCGATCTATCTTATCACCTCATAGAAGCTACCCTAGAAACTACGATTATAGACGTCTTTTAGGGCCTTGTAGTAAGAAGGTCCTTGAACCTTCACTAGGCAATTCTCTTCTCTTTCCTTGCTCGCAACTATGGCTGGCAGGGCCTATCGATGCTTCATTCACTCCTTCGTAAGAGAAAGAGCCTCCCGGGGCAAGCTCCTTAATCAATCTCTCCCGCCATTAGTGCAAGAATCCGTCTGTACGCCGCTTTTATTCTTCATGCTTGGTGACAGAAGTGGCTATGGCCGATCCCTCTTACATACTCTCGGAAAGTGATCTTTGCTAGGAGCGTAAGTAGCTTGACCAATAGGGAAGGACTTCCTTATACGATAATCGAAAGTGGTACCTAATCTAGTCTTTGACTTCAACCAATGCTAAGAGCTTACTTTGGGAAGCTTCGTCCGACGAGAGGGAAGGCTGAAGTTGTCATTCATCTTTCTGAAGACCAAGCCAATCGAAAAGAAACTGGTCACTTTTTTTTCATCGAGATGGGTATTGCTTGATCGATCGACTGGGGCTTAGGCTGCTTTTCCTGCGAAAGTCCTTATTCCTCAAGAAATGGACTCTCAATTAGGACTCACAGCTCGCAGCAGACTTGTTTCCACGCCGCTAACTCTTAATACAAAGAAGACGTCCTAATTCGATAGATAGATGACAATACGATCTGTATCGAACCTCCTTTCTTCCTATCTACTAGAATACCGGATTCCCATGCTTTTGGGAGGGCACCTCTTCATATACCTGACTTACCTACACCAGTTAGAACCTGCCAAAGGCAGTTGCTATTGACCGCTTACCAAGCCCTGCAAAGACTGAGACGGAGGGAGCTCATTACTAATCCTTAACTTTTCGAGAAATCCTTCATCAGTGGTTGTGAATGACCGATTTTTCTCAATCTTTTCGACCTCTTGGTTCCGTAGGAGCAAGTCAGAAAGATTGATAAATAGAACCATCTGATTTGATTCGTTCTCAATAGCCATGAGATGATCATCTTAGGGTGATCTTTTTGTCGACGGATGCTCGGCTATCGATCGACCCGACAGTGCTTCCTTGGTCCATTCCATTTAGTAGATCCTCCCCCCAAAAAATCTTCTATTTAGCAGCAAAGGGAGATAGCATTGAAACATGCTATTACCTTTGTATAGCTCTAACCCGGCCCGGCTAGGATGAATAACGAGGCTGTTCAGGAACTATTAGCTCTACTCGAACTATGCCCTCTCTTGCCTTTGGTTTATGCTTTCTAGTTCAGAGATCAATATCTTTATGATAAAGATATTTCGTAAGGCTAGGTTCAATAGAGACAATCCTTTTCTTCATAGTAGCTGTCCAACGGGATCTTTCAATCAAGCAAGTAAGCCAAGCAAGATTGTATCAGGAGTAGTAGGAGTGGGAGATTTCAAGGTAGCTCCTGACTCTCGGGGGAGGGAATCTCGTATTATAGAGAGATCTTACTACACCCGTAAGCCAGCTAAGAAGTCATGCTTTGAGTCCGTTAGTGACAGTAGGAATGCCATTCAGCCAGTAGGAGTAGGTCTTCCAAGCGAAGGAGTAGCAATCCGGTTCAAAGCCAGTAGCTATCCAGTCGAATGCGAGCCAGGCACAAAAGCAAGACTAGTCCTCATGATGAAAGGCCAGGGAGTGAGGGCGTGGGTTCTAGCGAGGGATACTACTTCTTCGGCTAGAAGGGACGGATCTTTCTTTTCCTCATCAAGCATTCCGTAACTTGAGTTAAGTACCTTAACTTTTCTTCCTCTTGTCGTATCGAGTTAACATTCTAGGGAATCCGTGCTTTGCTTTGTCAATGTCACTTTCAATATGCTGAACACATACAAGTTTGATTGAACTGTTCACATTGGCCATCTAGAGAGATTATATACAGTGTGCCGTTAGGGAGGAGAACTAAATTGAATAAAGGAATTCGTGTTTACTACTGTAGGACCGGCGGTGGAATAGAACTAATTAAAGAAAGCCCTTTGAAAGCACATCTTTTCTTTAGCATCTAAAAGTTGAATGATGAAAGAGATTCCTTTGATTTCACCCATTGTTATAAGCTTGCTAGGTAGCCCCTCTTCCCAGGACTTCCACTTGTTACCGTCCTAACTACGCTAGGGTTAGGGAACAGCACCCTAGTATACCCGACCCAATTCACCGAATAGTTAGCGCTGGCTTTGGTTCAACTCCTCGCCAGGAAATTAAGAAATGGATGACATTTTTTTGGTCTTTTGCCCAGGCCGATTAAGCTCTTTTTCCACTTGGCTAGGGCCGACGCGACGGATTGTATCAGAGAGAGAGAGAAAAAGACCTTTCCCGTTGTTTGATACAGGGGCAGCCCGCAAGATATGTCCTTTCTTTTTCAACTGTCAAAACCTTGATATCTTCATTCCCATCGTTTGCATCAAGAAGAGCATACTCTCTTTCGAAGATCGCTGAAAGGGTAAACTTTCTATGCTTCCTTTGGAGAATCTGCTGGTGGATATCTTAGGCATTGGTGGGGCTTACTGACTTATATTGATCCCGATCTACCTATGCTTCAAACCAAGTACCGTAAAAAAGGTTTCTAACCCGCGAGCTTTTACCTATAAGTGATGGGAGTGGCCAGAACACCGGTTGATTTAGTGATTTACCCATCCAAACAAGTGGATCTATCGCGCAGCGATAATCACTATAGAGGCGAGAGAGACGGATAAGTGCCCCGCCCCTGTAATTGGCTCGGGATCCGTATTGGTGGGCACTGGATATAATGCTGCTGACTGTGCTACCTTTGCTGAAGTTTGAGCCGAAAATGACTTTGTTTTTTAATAATCAGCTATTGGATTAGGATAACCCGATTATGGTTCTGGATCAAGGTTTTCCAATAGGTGCTGCCCCCGCCTTCACTTCTCGTTCCGTATACTCTTGTCCTTCCCTCGTTCCCTGCTTCGACTCAAGACCTCTAAAAATGGTAGTGAGTATTCGGCTCACCTCAGCTCGCCTGTGACATAGCATAGCAAAGCTAGCCTTCAGAGATCTCTTGCCCAAAAAACTGGTTGATGCAGTGAAGGTTTTTAAAAAGTGAAAAGACAGAAGGGACCCGCCAGACGAGCTTATCGAGTTGAGGAACGAACCTGCTAGGACCTCCTCTCAGGATGACTAAAAGGTGTGCATACGATGGGCGAAAAATCTAAACGAACCCGCCACAATCGAAAAGGAAAGGATCACTTAGCTCCTCTAAAATCGGGTGGTGAAGAAAGACCCTTGTTTCAAGAACACGTAGCGCTCAACACCCTGCTGACGCAAGAACCCATCAAGCGTGCCCCAAATGAAAAACCTGGATTTCAGCTAATGAGCTAAGCCCGTCTCAAAATAGATCTGAAAAGAAGTAGATAAAGCCCGACAGGAGAAACATATCAACATGTTTTTCCACGCAAGAAAGAAGTTCGTCCAGCCCGTCTGGAAGAGGAAAGACCCAGGTCTCATGGTCCCATTTTCTGCCCAAAAAAGGTCCATCTGGCGGCAATTCTCGAATGTGGAAAAGGCCCCAAAAAGTTTTTAGGGCAAAAATCCCCAATACGATGGTAATTATTTCGATGAGCAAACCGTGTCAAAAGGAATTTTTTTGAAGGCAATGGCCCACAGCGGCATACATGCAATAAGTCTCAATCGACCAAACCACAGGATTATACAGTCACTCTCCCTTGACTAGGATTAGGGTTTACTAATCAAGTTTTATCATGAAAGCTCCCCCACACATGACAACATACTATACTTAATGATACCTGGACATTGATCCATGGACTTAGTGAAAAAGGATTAGGACCCTTACCTTAATTAATATGATTGATTAAAACTTAATCACTAAAGCCTCTCCAGATGATACTCTTGCACATCCAGATACAAGTCTTGTCATCGTGTTCCCCTAGACGATGTATAGACATGTCTAAACCCGGGTCTCTACCCAAAAGACACTCGCACTTACACCCACACTCATGCAACCTTTTGCGTGCTGACTTTCTGCAAGTTGAATTAATCGTCCCCCGATGATTAGTCTCAACTCGTCAGGTCGACAGATAGTATACATCATGCATTAGATTAGTACGTAGCGCCTACATTCTTCAATCCAAACAAACGGCATCACTTTGTAGCAATAAATCCCGATTGGTGTTCCGAAGGCCTAGCGAGTTAAACGAGTTCCTTTTTTTTTCAAAGGCGGTCCTTTTTTTCTTTCCCCGGACCGATGACTCGCTTGTTCAGTACTGCTAACTATTATAGGAGGATGCCGTCCCCTCAGGACTACCAGTAGTTTCGGTTGTTGAATCTCATGCAAGTTAGGTTGTGGTTGTATTGGCTGCAAGCGGAACGAAGGCGCTGTAGGTGTGTGTTGACCATGCGCTCTCGCGTCATGTAATGTCGTATGTATGTATGATAGAGGTGGTGATTGACCTCAATGCTAATAGTTATCCCCAAGGTTCAACGAATGAAGCTATGATCCGGATAGAGATGATGGTCTTCCTCTGATGTCTCCAAGCCGGCCATAATAGAATAGATAGGCGAAGCAGCCAATAGCAGTCTGTTCTCGCCTATCGATAGATAGCAGGTTGCTTCCAAGCTCAAACCATTTGAAACTGAATTGCTACTTTTTTCTTGTTATTGATAGAGTGGTATGTATTCTCCGCCCCTCTAAAATAAAGTAGAGGGAGAGAACTGGAAGAGAGAAAGAAAAAGAGCAAGGGATTTACAAGTCTAATGGGAGAAGAATGGCTGACACGTTGACTGCCTTCGAGACTAAAAAATCTAACCCAAGCGACCCCCCGGGGCGGACCCCAACCGAAAGGCGCTAGACGGACTAAGGGCCAGCTGCTTTCTTTATCTCGCTTGCCCTTAGTCTAAAACCTTGCCGCGAGAGAGTTTTTCTCCAATGAGAATAAAAAAAGTTTTTGGGCAAGACAAGAAAGGAACTCGCCCTTTGACACCAAGAGATAAGAGCTGATTGCTGGCGATGACTTGGTGAAGGGAATCTATGAGAGAAGGTTCTCGAACCGGGTTCCGCCCGAATAGAGCGCGGAGCCAACGAGTTCAGTCGAACAGCGTAACGAGTCTAAGGGCGGGATCAAGCTTGAAAGGAATGGACGGGCGTAGGCTTAATAGTGAACTGAACGCAGACCCACCTGCTTATAGATATGAGATCAATGACTTAAAAGACAGATAGATGCCGAGAGAAACTGCTAGACTTCTTTATTGCGTTGCGAAGAGAGATCGAAGACGAAGATTTTCTGACGCAGTGCGGGCACTGGATGGAAAAGACAGAGAACAACCCACCGGAAGGGCATACCTCAAGGAGCACCAATCTCCCCCGGCAAACATCTATCTGCACAAAGCCGACCTATGTATAGAAAGAAATATGAAAGAAAAAAGATGCTTTGGGAGTGTGAGATAGGCGGACGGGGAGTACGCAGCCGAACAACCGCAGGGGCTTCCAGCAGTGATAGCTGAACTAACCAGACGAACCGGATGGGCCGCCCAAAACCTGGAGCTGACATTTAATTTAAATCGGAAATCAACGTCGGATCCCGGCTATCCGAAAAACGTAGACTGAAGCGGAGGATCACGAAATGCAACACAACAAGGGGTTCCGCGCTTTCGCGAAGGAAGAAGCGAATCAATCAGAATGGTGAGGCGAAAGAGAGATTTTCGAGCTTGCAAGCAGCAAGCAACAACGGCTTTTCAGCCGTTGCGCGCTAGCTTCTAGTTTAGGGGTATAGTAGGGGTGCCTTTTTCTAAAACTTATATTTAATATAAGGTAAGCTTTTTATTTTGGAACCCTAGTTTTGGAGTTTTCCGCAACCTATACCTTACTAATATTACTAATATAAAGAAAGGGCTTGCTTTTTCAGCTGCATCGCACTGCCGCATAAACAATGGATCCGCCGGGCTGGATGAGCAACCTTCTCTGGAAAAGAGTAGTGAAAAGCCATGTCACTTGGAACGGAACTGGTTGCTTACTTACTTTTAGTAAGACCACTTTGGTAAGCAAAATTCGATTATATAGGCATGGTTGCTTACAAGACAAAACAAAAGCTAGCTTCTATATGTTCAGGCAAAGAACATATAGAGGAAGCAACCCTTTATCTGATCTGGCCTATATACCAGTAGTGGAGTGGCTTGCTACTTTCAATCAGAAAAGGAAAATTGAGCAAGGCAAGGGAGAAAGAAGTTGTCCCCTCTTCTCTGCCGCCGCCGATCATATAGAGCGCTCCGCCCGCCACCTCATGTTCCAAAGTGAAACGGTTGTTCTTCCTTCCCCGCTCCCTCTTTTTATACATATGCGGTGGCGGGTTTGGCTAGGTAACATAATGGAAATGTATCGGACTGCAAATCCTGGAATGACGGTTCGACCCCGTCCTTGGCCTCGGGGAGTGGCGAGCAGCACGGAACTTTAATTAATCAAATGGCATAGGGGGCTTTCCTTTGTTAGAAATCCACAGACAACATACTGAAACTTCCAAACCAAAGAAATGCAACATGAGAAGGAGCTTTTTACGTTACGCTTCAAATTTAGTTTTTAGAATTAAAATACGCCCCATGGTCGATCGAAGGTCCTATGCCAGTTAAACTCAAATCTATCTTACCTTCAATCCATCTTTGTTCAGCCAGCTCATAACAAAATGTTAGACCAATCTCAGGGCTGACACAACCGAATTGGTTGAGGAAAAGGAAACCCCAGCGACCAAGCACTCCCGCCCCCAAAAGCTGAGATCGAACAACCGCCAGATTGTCGAGGACACGTCTGAAGAGGAGGCGGGCGCCCTCTAAGTTGACCACCCTACCCACTAATGGACTATGAGGGAGGCAGGCGAACGGGAACCGACCGAGAACCCGAACTGATTGACTGGCTGACCCCTTCATACATACTCGATTCATTAGGGTCGGAGATGGATGAAACCAATCAGAAGTGCAAATAAATCGCGCAAGCGAAGCCGGGAAACGGACCGCAGCGCAACGACTAGGACTCGTGTCGGAGGAGTTTTGAGCATGAGCTACCACTCATGCAGCGGCAAGGACCCGCAACTCTCGAAGGGGCCACCCACCGCCCGAATCACTGTAGCAAATCCTCCCTTTACTCAATGGATAGCGCTTATCCTCTTTCAATCAAGAAAATGAGAAATGGGGAAAAAGAAAGAGGTCTTTATTGAAGAGGCTTTGCACCTGAAATAGGTGCAGAAGTTTATTCTGGTCTGTGCTTTCGAAAAGATGAAGATGCAA